TAGTACTTAAGGAAAGTCATTAATACCAATCTTCTTGAATTTACCGAACATTGCATTGTTTCCTCTGTGGTTTGATGGTAAACATACCTGCGGAAAAGTAAACTCAGTTCAGAACAGGCTTTACTTTTTTAATTGAGTTTCATTGGTGGGTGGTTGTATAAGAATATTTCTCAAATTACTCTTTATATAAACTTAGTAACGTAAAAATTCATCAGATGCGGCAGCAGATTTAGATCTTAACATTATTCGAAACTAAATTCATGTAGTATTTTGATAGATTTTCTTCTTAAGATATGGTATTTTACATTATTTGATCTTTTCTAGGTGGAACCAAAGTCCACAACGACGTTTATTTTTCGCTGATTCAATGGCATGCTAACGTAGGAATATTTTCATGATGAAACCACGTATGATATTGGAAAGAGTTCTAAGTTTATGCCGTTTAATCTGCGTAGTTTTTAATATTTTTTTACTTAGTTAGTATTCAAGTTTAAGCGCAGCTACAGCAATTTTTGAAGCCTTACAACAAAAAAATCCTTGACCAATCAAGCCTGCTCCAGATAGCTTTTAGGGTAGTAGTATTTACTAGACTTTTCAGCGTAGTCAGGACAAAGTTTTGGTTTGGTCTGAGTCTAAAAATAGCTTTGCATCCTCACTGTATATTTGAAATCGCTGAGCTAAATGGCAATATATTCGGATGCTGGGATTCAAACAAGTTTTTTAGATGTAATAAACTTGCAGAGGACTTTCATTGTGATCTGTCGCATATTCAGTTGAGTATAGAAACTTCTTTTATTAGCCGTTTCTCCACTTTGTTCTACACTTTCTCTCTCCTTTTACTTGATATCATAAATATTTCAGTTTAGTACACATAATATAGTTCAAAATATTTAGTAGTTTTAACATTGATCAATAACCTCCTTGTCGTAATGTATATATTACTTTGGTTTAAAATACAGTGATTATTTACATTATGTACTCATTTATTCCCCTCGTATTTACAGTCATGGCTCAATTTGCACAATTTGCACAATTTTTCATCTAAACCATATAATTAAGCTTTGCACAAGTATTTGCAATTTTAATATACATAATTAAGCAAAGAAATGCATTGCGTTGTATAAAAGTTAGGCGTTACAATTTTTAATGTTAAAATTGTAATATAAATAGTATTTTTAGGTTTTTACAAGCTTAATTGCTTTGCTTTGCCTAAATATTTACAAAACTACTTACATAATAATGCACAGTTATTTCAAAACAACTGCAAAAACAATATTTTAATCAGCACAGATTTGCAAATAAAATATTCACCAATTTAATTTAGCCGCTTTGGTTGGGAACTCTCTGAAAATATGCGCCTGGGTTTCAACTTTCTACCTCTCTGCCTTTCGCTGCCTCGCGCTGCTTTTAACTTTGTTGTTTTTACTGACAAATTCGAGCTATTTTAAAATAAAGAATTGGAATCAATGCTGACAGCAAAATTACTGAATAAATATCACTAAATTCTAGTTGTTTTACAAATGCGCCTAAAATTATACATCACTAATAAGGAAATGTTTGTTATAGAGAATTATAAAATCTAGTATAGTATATATTGAAACTGTACTTTATTTAATAAAAGTTTGCGAATGTATAATGCAATTATATTAAAGCTTTAAAGCGAAATTCTGTAAGACTCCCAAATGTAGGCCACAACTTTCAACAAATGTAAGTATGCTCATATTTCTTAAATTTTCTCGCAATTACCACTTTTTATTTCACTTTAGTTTAAATTTTTTAAATGATTACTGCTTCTGTAGTATTATTTTCGCAAATTCTTGGCAAATTTTCACAGATTTTTGCAAAGCATTGCACGAGCACACAGTGCAATAACCGTAAATGCTATTTGTTGTATAACTTTAGGCTTGAATTTTCAGCAGCAGTATTACAAAAAGCATATTAGAAGGAAACCCGCATTAAAAGCTTTAATTTGAAGTGAATCCCAAATGATTTTTAATAAGTTAACAAATAATTGACAGCACATGCAACAATTATAAAACAACAACAAGAAACTGTAAAGTAAATTTTAGTGTTCGGAAAACGATTACGTCTCGTTTTCGTTTACAGCCTGTGCTCATATATTGGTGTCTCTGTGTGTGTGTGCGTGTCGCTTAGTTGTGGCTTGTGGCGTAAAATGCCGCTGTGGGCCACCACTTTTTTATGATGGAGACATTCCTTGTCCTTGGGTTATGTTTCATAATATATGAAGCACTGGATTTCTTTCAAGGATGCCTGCATAGTACGTCACCGAATTCGACCGATCAAATCGAGGCCTATCGCCGCCAATTGGACGAGCAGCGACAACAGCTGCAGCAAGAGCAATTCATAGCGAATTTAACGCCGCTCTTGGGCGCCCAGCTGTTGGCCGCCACCTCCAGCGTTTCGCTGACGCCCAGCGATTCCACCGCCAGCATCATAAGTGAACAGTTACGTGCACAACAACAACGCGAACAACTCGAACAACAGCTAGAGGGCAGTATACGCGGCAGTAGCAGCGGCGCACCCAGCAACGCCGGCGACAATTCGTTGAGTACGCCAGCTTTGCATAGCAGCGGTTTGGGCAGCACTTTCGGCTCGGCCGCTGGTAGCGGGAGCTTGAGTGTGGCCAGTGGTAATAGCAGCGGCGCCGCATTTCGTCCCGCCTATCGTAGCGCTTACGAATCGCAAGAATTGTACGCGACTTCATCACTACCGCGCGACTACTACTTCCTGCAACAACAACAGCAAAAGAATAAGCATTCAGCGCGCTCGCTCTTCTCGAAGTTCGGCGCTTCCAACTCGGATAATCGAATTTTTCCCGAGACCACAGCGGTGCTGGGCGTACCTGCGGGCGTGATTACACAACAGCCAGCGGCGAGTGTGAATCATTTTGAGTGCTTGCCGCCAGCGACTGTGCCTGCCTCGCCATTGGCTGTGGACTTGAAGCGCGCCATATTGAGTAACAATAACAAAAATAGAAACAGTAATAACAACAAAACGTACAACGAACGTAGACGCGCAGCGTGTGCGGTAGAAAGTGTGCTGGTGCATGGTGTAGCGGTGATTGCCAGTCCGTCGCGTGATCCGCCAAATCCTACAGGAATAGCTACAACAACCACTTCGGTTAAACGTGCAATTCAACGAAATCGTAACGCCAACGCGACCGCTACACATACGACTGCGCACGACAGTGACGGCAGTACATCGGATTGTGAATCGGATACGAGCGGTGATTCGTCTGACTCGTCGGCATCCGCCTCGGCCGGTTCGGCGTCGCTCGCCTCGTGCGGTGAGGACAGTGATCCCGGTTTGGGTGAGGAACGCGAGTTCGGTTTGTCCAATTCGTGTTCGTCGTCGCATGCGGACTTTCGGGAAATCGAATGTGAGCGGCTAAGACGCAAGTGTGTGAGTGTAAAACGCATCTATAGTATATCGGAGAAGTTTTGAATACCTAAAAGCAACTGAAATTCGAAGTGCAAAAAAAAGTTGGTAACTGTAAAGTGTTGAAAAAAAAATTTTGGAAAAAGGTTTGAATTGCTTTTGCTTTAGTAGTCACAGTAAAAGTAGCAATTGTCAGTTTTAACAAAAAATTTATAAGAAGTATAATGTATATTTGCGCTTTAAAGATATACTTTCATTTCACATTCTATATCGCTTCAGCTCACCTCACTAAGCAGAGTTCTGGTTGTTCACTCATTTTCTCACTCTCTTCTATCAATAAGTATTACTTTGTTTTATATTCTGTGCTTTCACTTATCTTCACTTGTTTCTTTTCCACATTTAATTATATAGTAGAATAGTTGAGATTTATGTAAGTATAGCTTTAAGAAAAATTAGAACCCGAAATATTCGAAAATATTGATGACAAATTCTTAAAGGCTTCGAAAGTTTACTTAGAATTTTCAAGAGCTTTAAGCTAGGGCATAAGTTTTATTAGTCTTGGAAGAAAATTGAACTTTAAATATTTGGTTTGTACTCTATACGGCAGACAATTTCATTTTCTTCCAAATCTATGCTTAGCTGTTTTTCTTTATTTTTTTCTTAAGGTCGAGTTCTTAAACTCGAGTTTATGCTCATTTTGGCAAGTGCCATTAGAACTACTCTTAACAACATTGTTTATCATACAAAAAACATCCTTTAACTTGAATTTAACAAAACTTTTGGTGTTTATAAAAAATACAACGGTTTATTTGTTAGTAAAATTTAGTCTCGCTATTGAAAATTAAACCTAGAATTTTTTTGAACCCTACTATGAGAATCTTTGCTTCATTTTTACTAAAAAAATGGAGTTTACCATACGCAAATATATCATTAACAGGCACTAAGCATTATTTTTGGTGTTTCTGAAAATTAATCCAGCGTTAAAAAAAATGTTTGGCCTCTCTACTGAAAATTTAATGTCACAAAAAGAATTAATAATTTACTCATTACACCTATCATTTTGTGCTTTTATAGGGTAAAACTTCGTTTTATAACAAAATCCTATTTTTCTTAATAAATAATTACGCTACTTTTGACATTTCGATCGTCTTTTTTCAGCTAATGCACAACCGGGAATGAAAACTTGATTGTTATATCTAAATATCGTTATTTTCACGTCATCATATCATTTATATTGAATAAGTCATAGAATTTCATGGAATATTTATATTTCTAAAATAATAAAAGGCTATAGTGATTGATATACCTGTCCTAGTAATTGGTCACGCCATGTCCTAGTAATTGATCAATTTGCAAACTAGTAATAAATAGTGGCTCCATCATTTTTGCAATTAGTTGCAACAAATTTCGAGGAATTCTGGGTATTCAGTAATGTAGTTTAAATTTCGATAAACTATGTATATTTATACTCTTTTCACATATGAGTGGTTTTATTATTTTCGTAGATATTGTCTTGTAATCAGACAAATATTATAAAATTATAATGTGAATGGGAAAAAAATTTAAATATAATATTGGTAAAAATAATTAGAAATATAATAAAAACGTTATAAAAATAAATTATAAATTTTTCGTTATATTCGAAGCGCGATTCGGGAGCTTTTCACTTTGGGTATGTCCGAGCATTACAATATATTTAAAATTACTTATATTGCTCTGGCATTCAACCAGACAAACGCTGCCTGTAGCTCAATGTTTCGAAGCCTGTGAAAAGATGAGAGAAAACTTCAATAAGAAAGTGATATTTGTGGGCATAAATTGTCATTATTTAAACTTGCTGATCAACACTGACACAAGTTGTCGCTTGAACTGTCCGAGTGAATACTAGATGCATTTATTAAAAGACAACAGCTATAATTCATTAGGCATTCTCGTCTGACTGTTTGTTAGAGTTCGAAACACCATTATGTAACTTTTACATTATGAGACATTTACCATATTCTTTATATATTAAATATTGCCAAATTAACTTTATTACAAAGACGAAAGCAGATTTAACTACAAAAAATTACATCCTGAACTCGCCTTTAAGATAATCTTGGTTTTTTGTGGGAGTAAAGCCTGATATCATATTAAACTCAGAAGTATATTAAACTCCTTGATAGAGAACTCTCTAAAGCTGTTCGTTAACACAAAGTGTTGAACTCATGTTTGAGACACAAATCAAGGTACTATGTTATTAGAAAAATGCTTAGAGAAATGTTTAAGAGTTGGGCGTTTAAACTACTGAGAGCCTTAATAAGAAAAAGAAGCGGTTAAAGAGATATTCTAATTGAAGGCACCTACGAAACGTTAAAAAAGGAATGAGAAAATAATAGAAATAAAATATATATAATTATAGAAGTTATAAAATCACTCTAATCACTCAAAATATGAATTTTTAAAAACAAAAAAAATTAAAAAAGGGTGTAGTTGTTAGATTTCAAGTACAAATTTTAGTAAAACAAACGAATTCAATGTACATTTAAAGGGCACACCTTGTAGGACAGCCTAAAGAAGGCGATTTTTATGAATTTATAATAAAATCTATGTACATCTTTTGAAATATAAATTTGTAAAGAAAACCGTTTTATATTTTTCGAGTTACATGCTTGATTTGTGATTTCGGCCTTTTCCGTGGATAAACCCTAAAATAAAAATTCGCACTGGAAGATATTTTCCGTACAGTGACCTGCGTTCAAAAACAAATTCAAAATTTACAAAATGATGACGTTTAAAAAAATTCCAAATTTCAGTTTAGAAAACTGGTAGGTCATAATACTTACATATCGTATATGGAAAAATATATATAGACAAGCAGTAAAGATAAACTGATTCAACTGCGCGCTTATATTTTGTAGGCTGTAACTCAAAAACTATTTGAGACGACGATTTAAAATTTTAGTATGTCATTTTTGAAATATGAAAAATATCGAAATATGAAAAAATTTTACTTATGTGTGCCCCTTAATATGAAAATAAGGTAACATTTTTCTAACATATATTATTTTAATAACATTAACAACAGCAAGGACTTTACATAAACTATGTTAATCACAGTGAATTTGAAGTCGTATATTTTTCTGGTTATTTAATTAAATTTGAATTTTTTAACTTTTGTACAATTAAATTAACATTTGCAGTTCCTCATTCGTTGTTAACAGCATTAGGGTAATAACAGTAGTAGACTAATAGTTAATATTTCTGTTGACATAAGGAATCGTATTTCCATTAATACTGTTCACTGCTTTGAAAATGGCTGCCTCTCCAGTGTTACAGTGAGCTGTTAATTAACAGTGAAGTAATTCAAATTATCTGTTATCAGTGTTTAGCAGGAAAATGTAATGCTTTGTATAGAATGTGTGGGTATTTTATGTGTACAAATATAACAATTTTGCAGTTTTGTAATTTTGCGATAAAAATGTAACTGTAAGTCCTAAAAGCCATAGACATGTAAGCCTTATATTCATACTTTCATAAACCAATTGAATGGCAACAAAGCTTTAGCTGCGTCGTTACAATTTTGTATCTGTTTGTTAAGCTGGGTATTTTGCGAGGCTTTCGTTTTACTAGATCCATAAACACACACACCAATACTTACAACAGCTACAATATTGTGTTACATAGGTTCACTTATTGCTAGCGTTGCTGCTCCTGTGGTGTTACAGCTTTTGTCTGGGGTCATTATGGCGCCAGCATGCGGTGTCAAATGGTGACAGTAACAAACAGTGGCAACAACAATATCGAAACAACAAAATCACCGCATATACCGAGGCTAAAGCTGAATGTCGGTGAAATCAACAAACGACGCCGACGCCATTTTTTCCACGCGCATTGCCACAACAAACACAACAACAGCAATCGATGTTACTTATTTTTCGCCACACTTTCATTTTATTTTTATTGCCAACCAGCATAATAGTTAGTTGCTGTCGCACTATTCGGTAGTCGTTGCTAACGTTGCCAGTCACGCTGCCTGCGACTGCTTTTGTGTTTAGCGAGCGAACTGGTGGGTAAGAGGGGGCTTTTGCTGGCTGCTGGAAAAAATGCAATTTTCTAGTTTGATGCGCAAACAGTGACGGCAGCAAAAATACATAGAGCGATGAATGGAATGGGGGCGCTGCCTTGATTGGGAAAATGGTGGGCTATATTTTTATTTGTGGATGTATGTGTGGGGCGCGCGTAAACAATAGCAGCGCTGATTACGTGCAAAACCGCGGCAAAACTAACGGCAGTACGGTAAAAAAATGTAAAAAAATGCTGATGGCTGTCACAGCGTGCAACCAGAACGATGGGAAATAAAGAATAATGCTGGAGGAAAATAGTGTAAAAGTGGGTGTGGGGTTAGTGCAAATCAAGAGAAAAGTTGAAAGGCGAACATGAGAAAACAAATATGTAAAAGAAAATATTTTCATTATTACTTATAGTTATTAAAGCTCTATTAAATATTTGATATAAATGCCAGCTAAAATAGAAAATGCCATAAAGGTTGAAGAAAATTACTTACAAAACAACCCTGATGAAACAGCTAACGTGCCAAATTCTGTAAGATATAAATTTAGTCCATTTTTATATGCGGCTACTATTTTGCATTCGTTTCAACATTTGCTAATCACATTTTCATAAAAGCGAAAATTAGTAATCTTTGTATATATTATTGTTGTTGTGCGCTCTGTGCCATAAGCTGCCGACTGATAAGACAGTCTCTTCATTGCAATTCAAATAAAATGAACTGACGAACGGCTGTCGTCGAGGCGCAGCAATCCGATTTATGTGAAAGAAAGAAGAGTAAACAAAAGAAAAGAAAAGCAAAACTCTAAAATAAAACGAAAATCAGAAAGAACAAATATTATATAAAAGAAATCTCAGCCGATTCAGAAGAAAATATGTAAAGCCAAATATAATAAAACTCAAAAATTAAATCTCTTTTGTTCTCTTCGTTATCGACGAGCAGCGCGCCTTTTCTCCTATTACTGGCTATATTTTGTAACGAAGTGATTGAAATGTAAGCTACTCAATGCTCTTCAGTTTCTTTCCTTTTCTAGCTTTAGGACAAAAATTTTAAAATAAAGAAATAAAAATTAACGATAATAGTTTGGCTTTAATA